TAGGAAATCATACACACACACACTTGCACAACTCAAATACACGTTTATCTGTTTTTGTGATAGGTTTTAACTCTAGTCCTAGACTGGCCTCAAATGTTCACTGATCCTACTATTTCAACTACCAATCGTCGGAATGCAGGCCAACAGCAGCACACTGGGCTCTCGCTTGCTCTCAATTATGTTAAAGAGCCATGCCAAATCCATTTATTAAAATTACAGCTCCAGGGCTGGAGAAACGGCTTGGCTGTTACAAGCACTGACTGCTCTTCCAGAGAAGCCAGGCACCCACATGGTAGCTCACAACCAGCTTTACTCCAGTTCCAGGGCATCTGCGAGCTTTCTTCTGGCCTCTGCAGGCATCAGGCAAGTACGCACAGGCAAAGCACTCACGCCCATAAAATAAAATAGGATTTAGAAACTGAGCCTTAGCAGTGACTCTCCCTATTATCTCTCCTTTCCAGTTTGTTCCCTCCAGTGTCCAGTGTGCCACACATCTCACTAATCTACCTTCCCCGGGTAGAGTGTAAGGAAGAGATGTGACTATTTTTTCACTACCTGGAGTACAGAATAATTCCTGACACATAAACAGGAAGTAATGAATAAAGTGGAATTTAAGTGTAAAATAACAAAAAACTGAAAGCCCGGCAATGTTAATGTTCATGCAGCATCAGAACTGTGTATTGCTACTAATGTATTCAGTGTGGGCTACAGTAGGGATAGGAGGCAGTAACAGGAGCATGTCTACCGTGTGTTACATCCACAGACCCCCCACCACACACACACACACACACACACACACACACACACACACACACACACACACACACATCAGGATGTAGCTCCCAGCAATACTTACCTAGCACAAACAGGACCATAAGTTTCATCTCCAGCATAAGTAAATTTGTTAACATTCATTTATTTGCATATGCCAAAGTAACTTTACATGATTACCATACAAGTAGAATAAGCGCTCTTGCAGAGTGTTTATTTCCCACTTCATAACCTAAATTGTAATTACCTTGTTTAAAGCATGCCCAACATGAGGGTCACCATTTGCATAAGGAGGTCCATCATGAAGACAAAATTCTGTCTTTGCTTTTCTTTCTCTTTGCCAGGAATAAAGTTCTGAAAACCCACATTTCTGTTTAAGAAAAAAAAAAGCCAATGTTTACATATCACCTAAACACATGCTACGCAATCTCATCAATACTTGATTATTACTGATTGTCATAGTTTGAGAGAAGCTGTGCACGGGAGAAAGATGCTGTATGACAGGATTCAGAGGAGTCTTTTTAATTAGGAAAAGGGATCATAAAAAGAGGAAAGAGGAGGGGAAGACTGGCCTGCAGAGACAGGAGCAGAAGAGAGGAGAACGGAAAGACGGGGGAGACAGGGAGAGAAAGGACAGGAGGTGGGCAGGGCCCTTTTAAAAGGGAACATAGTGAATGTGCACAGGTGGTGCTCTTAGTGGCTGCAGCTGAGGGTGTGTCCTGTCAGAACCCCAAGGACAGGCCAGTACAGATGCCTGAACACTAACACGGATCCCATTCCAATTCACTGAACTCAGAAATCTAACCGAAAACATTTCTGAAAGGAACCAGTATTTAACACCTTCAACTGTCTTCCCTGCCCCAACAATACTTCAGATTAAAGTCTACACTTTTCCGTGGCGGGGGGGGCGGGGAGGGCTCTAAATCCTTGGCTACTCTCTCAGTATCCACTGCCTCAATCCGGCCCTGATGAAGAACCTGTCCACCCCAGCCCCACCACCACCCCAAACACACTTATTCTTGCTATTCTTTGGCCTAAATACTTCCCTAAATCCAAAGACTATTCCGGTTCGCTTATTCACTTAAAACAGTATTCCTAGTTATCCGGGATATTTTAAAGACTAATGTTATTGGCACTAACACGTGAGTCTCATCCATGGGCAAATTGAGTATGATATAGGAGACAGACAACACAGCCCACAAAGGGGACTCAGAGGACTGCTACTTTGTCCTGCAAAGGAGTCATAATTCCAGCGAAAGGCCTAAGCATGTGACTAAAGTGGGCTCCGACTTCCCTCCTTTGCTAACACTTGAATTCTTTTCTCAAGACTTGCATTTTTTTAATTTCTGTGTGGTGCGGGCAGGAGGCCAGAGGAATTGGTTCTGCTGGAGCTGGGGTTACAGGTGGTGATCGGCCAGATTTGTGCACCAGGAACCGAATTCAGATCCGCAGCAAGCGCTCTGAGACGCCGAGCCATCTTTCTCTCCAGCCCACACTTGAATTTTCGTTTATTTACATGCTGGTTACTCTCTGACACGCGACTGGAAAAGTCTGCAGAGCCGACTCGCTAGGTGGCGAAACCCGGACGCGCGCACGGCGTGACACGGGCTGGGCTCCGCTTCGGAACCGCCCCGCTAGGGGCCCGTGCGGGAAGGCAGCGGCCGGGAGGGTTCCGCAGAGCTGGCCCACCCCGCCCTGGCCGGGTGGCCGCGCCCGGTACCTGCTGGATCTCCAGCTCCATGTCGGGCTGCTGGCGGCCCAGCAGCTTCATGGGGAAGGCGGTCTGCGGCAGCAGCACCGTGTCGCGGAATCGGCCGCTGCTCGGGCTGCTCTGGGGGCTGTCCGCCCCTGCCACCGACCGCACCACCAGCCTCCTCGTCATCCCCAGACACCCCAGGCGGCCGGGAGAGCGGGCTGGCCTCCAGAAGCTCCCGGCAGCGGCCAGCGCGGCCGCCCCGGGCCCCTGAGGGCACAGCCCCCAACGCATGGTGGGCGACCCAGGCGGACTACGCCGCTCGCGGCCGGCGCACGGCAGCGGCCCGGGATCGAAACGCTGGGGGACACCCCGCCGAAGAACGCAGCCGCCTGGAACTACGCACGCGCTCTGGGGAGGAAGGGGCGTGGGCAAGGGCGGGCCTTCCGGCCTGGAGGTGTGCCCCACGCCGGACCTTCCCCGAGGTCATGCTAGGGTAGAGGGGGTCCTGCCATCAAGTCAGCTCTCCCTAATCAGACGCTTGGGTTAAGCAACTTGCCCACGGTCATAGACCATAGACATAAGACGTAGTGGGACTAAAGCAGTGTAGTGGTGGTGCAGGCATTTAATCCCAGCATTTGGGAAGCCGAGGTCGGCGGATCTACGAGTCCGAGGACAACCAGGGCTACACATCTTCACATCTATTATTTTGTCATTCCTATGCTGCACTTTAAAATAAAAATGCATGAAAGTTACTACAAATAAATAAAAAGTAGAAAAAAGATAGACGTATACAAACAAAAAGCCAGTGTAAAAAGATGCTCAACTTGGGGGTCAGGGGGACAGACAGTCATCACGTAGAACAAATATGATAGACGTTTGCTAACAAGTATTGGGAGAGTGGGGGAGCAGACTGGGGTGTGCACGGTTCTGGGTGTAATGCCCTTTACTTACATGTATATGTGTGGTGTGCGTGTACGTATGCACGTTTGCACGTGTGAGTTCACATGGTGTGGGTGTGTTTGAGGCCCTAGATTGATGCTGGGACTCATCTTCCGTAACCTTACACCTTTACTCATGGAGTTAGGATCTTTCGAGCAAACCCAGAGCTCACCCATATGCTTAGTCTCACTAAGCAGCTAGCTCTGGGAATGCCAGGCTTCTCCAGCTGGAATTTAAGTGGTTTGTGAGTCCTCATGTTTGCACCACCGTGGAACGCACTTCATCTCTGAACTGCACTTTCCCATCTGGGAGACTGGCTGACAGCTGTCATCTCACAGCAGCATAAAGATTCATACACTCGGACCCGCCCCCCCGGCCCCCCACACCTCTACAGAACAACTTGCAGCATTCATTCAACTCTGCTGTTTCCTGAAAGACCCTAGGAGAAGAACCAATGCAGAGCACCTGTAGACTCTGCATTTCACTGGACGAGCTGTATTAGTGAGACAGATTTTATTTGTGGCAGTTGCTACACAATTACAATGTATTTACGAAAACCAATGCTTGAGTGTGTAATTTGTTTTTAGATTTACTTATATTATGTGTATGAGTCTTTGCATGTATTTATGTGTCTGGTACTCACAGTGTGGCGCTCACAGTGTGGGGACCCGGGAACTAGCATTTTGCATGCTCGTGAGCCTCACGGTGGGTCCTGGGAACCAAACCCCGGTCCTCAGGGAGAACAAGTGTGTCTCACCAGCCCCAGTGTTTGTTTTGTTTTTGTAGACACAGGGTTTCTCTGTGTAACCCTGGCTGTCCTGGAACTTGCTTTGTAGACCAGGCTGGCCTTGAACTCAAACAGATCTGCCTGTCTGTGCCTCCGGAGTGCTGGGATTAAGGGATCAGGTCACCATGTCTGGCCTCAGTGTATGGCCTTAAAGGAGGGTGTACATTGTGGATATTTTCACCACACACAAAAGGTATGTCTAAATTCACAGAGTAAACTAAGTAAAGCATAAGTCTTTTCCAACCATAGCTGTATGTAAATGGTAAATATTGATATTTATCGCCGGTGAAAAAAGGTGTGTGATAGCTTGTTTATGCCTGTTATCCCAGTATATGAACAGTTGAGGTAGGAAGATTGCTATGAGTTCAAGGCCAGCGTGTGTGTGTGTGTGCCTCTTACAACTAAAGTTTGAGAGTTGCAGAAAACACATAGGAAGAAACAAAATGTGTTCGTTACCATCCTCACAAAATAACGACATGAGATTTTAAGCCAGGGAGGCAGGGGGTAAGTGTTGCTTTTAAGAAAACAACTCCCATAATGGCAACTCATCCAAAGACAAAGCCAAGCCAGGAGTGGTGGCACCTGTGCAGTCGCTTCTAAGTTAGGAAGATGTGTGCTCGAGACCAGCCTGGGCTACCCAAAACCTGGGTCAAGAAACAAAACAAGCAAAAGCTGTTGTTGAGGTGAAGCTAAGACGCCAGGAGCCAGCAACCCGGAACGTCCTGGGGACTCCGGCTTTGACGACAGGTGGCGTAAACCTGCGCAAAAACGAGGTGAGGAGGCGTCTCCCCGCTGGCCAGCTTCCCACGGGGAGGCTGGTGTGCGCCTGCGCCGAGTTCCGGCAAGCGCAGCTGCGTCTCGCTCTGCACATTGGTCCCGTGGAGTTGGAGGAAGCGGGACGCGCGTGGCGAGCGACCCGGAGGGACAGCACTTTGGGAACGCGGGGCGGCTGAGTGTAAGTTCCTCCCCGCGGCAGGGAAGGCCTCCGAGGCCCTAGTGTCTTGGTCCGGTAACTGCCCGCCCGCCGCTAGTCCGAGGAGAGGAGAGCCAGGCATTGTGATACCAAGCACCCGGTGGGGACACTGCCTGGAGTTCAGCCACATCTAAAGGCTCGAGTGGCCACATGTGGCTGTTTACTGGGCCTGGCCATCTGGAGGACACTGCTTAACTGCTTAATATTGAGTAAACCGCAAGGTTAAACTTGATGTTCGCTTCCTCCTGCAGCCAGATTTGGGAACTTCATAATAACCAATATTCTTTCGGTTGTCATTTGTGCACGCCGAGTAGGCCCTCGTGATTCGTTTCCCCAGGAATATAATAGCTGCGTCGAACGATGTATACATTTTGTTTCTGTTAAATGGTTCGCTCCAGTAAGAGCATTGTTTTCTCGGCCCTTGCAGACCGGGCAAACGCTTGCGTCAATCTTAATCACTTCTCCAGCGCTAAGTTTGCATTTCCTTTATGTTCAATAGTATTGCATCCGTGTATTTAGTGACCAGCCCTTTTCTTCTTCTGGGAACTGCTTGTCAAGTGTTCTTGCCTCTTTTTTTTTCATAAGAACCCCAAATAAAACTTCTGTATGTGGTACAGGACTTAATGTCTCCTTTTATCAGTTATGACTTTGCTTTCCCTGTGATATTTTGGCCATGTAGAAGTTTTAATTTCTGTGTGAATTTGTTAATACACTGTTATGAATTCTTAGTTTTATGTTTCAAAGGCCTTTACAAGTTTATAAAAAACCATTCCTAGACTTTTTATGGTTTCACATTTTTTAATTATAACATATTAGAGAAACAGACTGAGAAAGACCGAACTTAGGCTGGCTTCAAACCCAAGGTATTCTTACCTCAGCCTCCTGAATTTTGGGATTATAGGAGTATGTTTCCACCCAGGACTATATGGAACCTTAAAAAAAAATTGCATTTAGTGTCTGTGTGTGTATGTCTATGTGCCCATATGTGTGTGCTTGTGTCTGTGTGTTTGTGTGTGTGTGTGTGTGTGTGTGTGTGTGTGTGTGTGTGTGTGTGTATAGACACATGTACCACAGGTGTTTGGGTAGAGGATGGAGGGCCTCTTGCAGGGGTCAGTTCTCTCTTTCCACAGTGTTGATTTGAAATTAGGTTCTGAGGTTTAGTGGCAAGCTCTTTAACCAGCTGAACCATTTTGTCAGTTTCTCTGGAACATGTTTGCTAAGAATGCAAGAAAGATCCAACTGTTTTTGAAGCCCTAGCAATTGCCCTGACATTTGTGTACAAGTGGCTTTCCTTCCTTCTTGTTCTTTCTTTCCTCTCTTTTCTTTTGAGACAGGGTCTTGTCCTGAAGCCCAGGCTAGCCTCAAATTCATAATCCTCCTGCCTCTCCTTCTTAAGTGCTAGACATGTGTCACTACATTCATCAACTTCATCCTGGATTTAAAATACCTCTCTTCCCCCCCCCCAGATTGGGTTTCTCTGTGTGGGCTTAGCTGTTCTAGAACTCACTCTGTAGACCAGGCTGGCCTCGAACTCACAGAGATCCACTTGACTTAGCCTCCCGAGTGCTGGGATTAAAGGCATGCACCACCACCACCCAGCTAAAATACCACTCATTTCTGCATTCATTTCTGAGATTTTACTGAGAGATACTGTTCAGTTGGTAGAGTGCTTGCCTAGCAGGCATGCAGCCCAGAGTTCTCTGTGTGTGTGTGTGTGTGTGATGTATGCATTTATATGTATACCTACACACGCACACACACAAACATACATATATACATATATGCACAAATGGTAGTTTGGAAAAATTGCCTCACTAGGCAGCCAAAGCTAGCCTAGAACCTACTATGTAACTAATGTTGGTGTGTTATTCCCAGTCCTCCTGACTCAGCTTCCTAGGTGCAAAGACTAGAAGCAGGGTCACCACACCCAGCTGGTTATTATATTTTGATAAGTAGTAACGAGGGTATCTCTATTAATTGTTCAGCATTTGCTCCATCACGTTCATTTTTATCTTTCCAGATAACCTTGAACTTCAGTACTATTTAACCAGGTTCCAAAGATAAATGATTCTAATGCTTTCACTGGGAACATATCAGACATTTTAAAACCCTAATCAGCATGCCCACCATCCCTGTAAGAATCAAAGACAAAACACAAAAAAGATACAGGTTGTTGTTGCTGTCTTTTCCCTGAAACCTTAAGGCTATGAGAAAAAAAAAAAAAGGTCATTTGAGCCTTGCTCTTCTTCTTTTTGTGACTTTCCTTTGTTTTTGTTTGCTTGTTTTGTGTTTTGTTTTGAGATGGTCTTACTTTGTAGACTGGCTGGTCTGTCACTTGGTTTTTAGTCCAAGCTGCTCTCAACTTTTTTTAAGATTTTATTTATTTATTATGTATACAGTCTTCTGCCTGCATGCCAGCAGAGGGCATCAGATCTCATTCAAGTGGTTGTGAGCCACCACATGGTTACCAGGAATTGAACTCAGGACCTCTGGAAGAACAAATGAGTGCTCTTAACCTCTGAGCCATCTCTCCAGCCCTGCTCTCAAGTTTTAGCAGTCCTCTTAGAAACAGGAACCCCAGGCTTCTGAGTGGTGACATTATAAGTGGGCACCATACCTGGCTCGTGTTTTCCGTCCTTCTACAGTAGCTGGCAGGCATTGTAAGGGTTTCTTAGTGTGCATGGGCATTAGGTTGATTGGCTTTTTATTCGGTGTTTGTCATCTTTATGCCAAGGCTCAAGCCTAGGACGCAGGACAGAAGAACTTCTGTCCCATCAGGTACCGTGCTGCCTCCCTAGGCCAGAGTATCCCTTGACTGAGTTGCTTTCCTCACAGTGAGTAAGAAGCAGCCCAGAGAGAAGGTGTTTATTTTGGTCGATGGTTTCAGGGGCACACAGTCCATCATGGTGAGAAAGACATGTGGCTGGACTCCGCCCTTGGCGGCAGAAGTGTCATGTGGCTTCTGTCGTGTCTGGAGGCAGAGAGCCTGAACAGAAAGCAGAGAAGGGGAGCAGGGGTCAGTGCTGGGCTGGCAGTGATGAAATCTCAAAGCCTGTCATTCAGCAGTCCCCCTCCTCCAACTAGGCCCAGCCTCCTACAGGTTCTACTCAGTGTCCTAAAACAGCACCCGCACTGGGTGAGAAAGTATTCATTCAGGCGCTTGAGCCCGTGAGAGGGAGGTGTTTAAATCATACTTAGGTGATGTGATGTGCCTGTGTGTCTGTATGTGGGTAAGGACTCATCAGGGCAGGTGCCTGTGGAGGCCAGAAGGGGACATCCGGTCCCCTGGGGGTGGAGTCACAAGTTTGTAAGCTGTTCCACATGGGTTCTGGGATCTGAGCTCTGGTCCTCAGAACAGAGTGTGCCTTCAACCATGGCAGCCCCTCCCCTTTTGTTTTTGACACTCCTGTGTGTCCCTGTTGTAGCCAGAACAAAGGGACCCACTGAATTATGTTTAGCCAGTGTTGTCTGATGCCTTCCATACAATATTTATTTAATAATTACAACAACCCTATACTGATAGGAGCAGTTCAAGGATGGAGAGTCGGGTGGCTTTCCTAAAGCTACCGTATGCCAGGGTGTGGACATGGGCAGCTGAATCCAGAGTCAGTCTTTAGCCACCACACTGTTGTTTTAGCTAAGCCTGTGAAAGGTCATGTTCCCAGAAGTGCTCAGGTAAAACTCAGAGGAAGATGGGCAATTTTTTTTGAACTGCTATGAGGAAGGTAACTCAGTGTCTAGTGTTAGCATTGTTCTTAAGTCACCTGCCACTTCCAAAGGTAATTCCCACTTGGGTTGCTGGGGAAGACCAGGGCAGAAGCGGAAAGCCTTGTAAGACTCTCTTCCACTACACAGTTTGTGGTTTGGTATATTTTTTCTTTTTCTTTATACCAAGAATCAAAACTATGTATTTCTTTTTAAACTATGGTAAGAAAATTGTTAGGGCCTGGAGAGGTAGTAATATTTCCATTCGTATGTCTTACAAACTGATGTTCTCTTTAAATTGTGGTTCATAAACATTGGGTACATTTATTAAGCAAGGTAGTGAGCAGACAGCCTGGAGATTTTCTGTCGGAAGAAGAAAAGTCTGAGGATATGTGGGAAGCCAAAGAGGAAGTGGATTAGTCATACCCGAAGCTTAACAAGGCTCAAATGATTACTGAATTGGATTAAGGGAAATGATCTCTATGAAAAGTTCTAGTGAGAAAAAAATTACTTCTCTGTCACCATTCCCACAAGTTTAAACTATTGTCAGCATTTAGGCGAATCAAGTGTAGCTCGATGAGAAAGAACTTGCCTCGTTAGGCCTCAGATGGGATTCCCAGCATCCCATCCCCCAGAAAAGGTGCTGGGAAGGTTGGTGACCTGGCACTACCTTTCCAGCTCAAAGTGCATTTCATAGATGGCTGTTCAAGGAAATGTTTCCCTAAATTACTATTTCTGGATTTTATCTGTGGTGATGATCATAACTCTATCCCACCTGTAAAACCTAGTATGTCAAGAAGTTAACATAGCCTGATTACGATACAGGAAAACATCACATAGATGCCCATTTCATTTCCATTTTAACTCCTGACAGCTATTAGCCACAAAATGGTTTTTAGTGCTGTACCTCAGTTTCAATTACATCTTTTCTCGTCCCCCCACCCCCCACACCTTTTTTTTTTTTCTGTTTTTCCAGACAGGGTTTCTCTTTGTAGCCTTGGCTGTTCTGGAACTCACTCTGTACACCAGGCTGGCCTCAAACGCTGCCTCCCACGTGCTGGGATTAAAGGTGTGTACTGCCACCACCTGGCTTCTCTCTCTCTTAAGATGTATTTCCATTTTTTAAGATTTATAAGTATGTGAATGTTTCACCTGCGTGTAGCCTGTGAATCACATGTATGTCTGGTATCTTCAGATGCCCAAAGAGGAGCTGGCCTGGAACTGGAGTTACAGACAGCTGTGAGCAGCTTTGTGCGAACTGGGAGCTGAACCCAGACTCTCTGCTAGAGCAGCCAGAGCTCTTATTCACTTAGCCTTCTCTCCAGCCCCTCAACTGCGTCTTGTAAGAGCTTTCACGTATTTGTTTATTGCCCATTCATCTTTTTTTTAAGATTTATTTATTATGTATACAGTGGTCTGCCTGCCTGCAGGCCTGCAGGCCAGAAGAGGGCGCCAGATCTCATTGTAGGTGGTTGTGAGCCGCCCTGTGGTTGCTGTGAATTGAACTCAGAACCTGTGGAAGAGCAGTCAGTGCTCTTAACCTCTGAGTCATCTCTCCAGCCCCCATTCATGTTCTTAATTCTTGTGATTAGATCAGAGCCAACAGAAAAGGATGCAAGTGGGTTCAAAGGTGTGTTAGTCAGCTATTCAGTTACAAGTTGGCAATGGAACAAATGGTCTATTTGTCCTTTACTTACAGTCCCTGTGGATAAGGAATCATCACTCACACCTTGACCTAAATAAAGTAATATCAGCCTGACTTGATCTTGAGTTGGAAAGTTTTTGTTTAAGTTTTTTTTATTTGTTTTTTGTTTTTTTTGTTTTTCGAGACAGGGTTTCTCTGTAGCTTTGGAACTTGTCCTAGAGTTCGCTCTGTAAACCAGGCTGAAATGAACTCACGGAGATCCACCTGCGTCTGCCTCCCGAGTGCTGGGATTAAAGGAGTGCACCACCAACCCGACCTTTTGTTTAAGTTTTAAAAGTTGTTGTTGTGTTGAACAATGTGTCTTTATTTAGCCAGGTTGACCTAGAACTTGCTATGTAGTCTAGACTGGTCTCTATCTTAGGGTCCTCATGCCCCAGCTTTCTGAGTGCTGGGATTTCCTACAGGTCTAGACCACCAAGTCTGCTTTGGTTTTGTGTTTTTGCTGTGGTGGGGATTGAACCCGAAGCTTTGTATGTGTTCTACATTCTACATCTGTAGCCGGGGAGTTTTTGCCTTAAGCACTTGGAGACAGAAATATAGTACAACAGGGTTTCCAGGGAATGTTGTTGAAAGAAGGAAAGGGAAGAAATGGGAGGGAGGATGATAACAGGCTGGGATATAGTATCAGCTGTCACCTCTGTTGGCCCCCCTGGGAGCCCTTCAGAGTGTCCTTTTTACATCTTTCCACCAAAGCCAGGAGTGGTGTCATACCAGTGCCGAGGCCAGAGGATTAGTACTTGGAGGCAAGCCGGGGCTACACAGTGAGACTCTGTCACATAAACGGAATGAGTTAGGGCGGTCCAGGCCTCAGGAGACAGAGGCAGGTGTGAGTTTAAAGCCACCTGGTCTACTCAGGGAGTTCTAGGCCTGTCAGGGCTACATAGTTGCAATTAAAGCAGTTTTTGCTTGTTTTAAACAGTGCTGGAGTTTGCATCCAGGACCTTGAGTATGTTGAAAAGCAAAGCAAAAGCTCTGCTACAGAGCTACAGCCCAGTTCCTCTTTGCAGTTTGCCTTGTGCGAGCATCCCTTATGCTGCTCGCCCCTCTCTGGCACTTATCAACTCCAGTATTGAAAATATCAGCTGATCATGGGCGTTTGCTGCAATAACTGATAGTTTTAGCTCCTAAGACTTCCACTTTGATTGTTGTACACCTCACACTCAAAATGTTTCCACCTGCTGGTTTCATTTCTCCGGGATTTGAAATGCTTTGTTGGCCAAGAAAGCATGTTACAGGGTGTATTGAGAGAGGTAACATCGAAATTGTGTCTTTTCCAAGTCTCTTTTAGTGTGTATTTATTAAAGAACCTATGCAGTAGCCTGGTGTGTGATGGGGCCTGTCCTTCTGTGTATATGTTTCTCTTATTGGTTGATGAATAAAACACCGTTTGGCCAATAGAGGTAGGAAGATGGGCGGGATTAGGAGATGAGAATTCTGGGAAAGGTTGGCAGAGAGGCACCAGGAAGGGACACCATGTAGCCAAGGAAGGAGTAGCAGGTTTGGACCCTTCTCTGGGAAGATAAGACCATGTGGAAATACATAGGAAATACATAGATTTATAGAAATGGGTTAATAATTAAGACAGAGCTAGCCAATAAGAAGTCCTAGAAATCGGCCAACAGTTTAATAATTAATATAGTGTCTCTGCTCATTTGGGGCTGAAGGGTGACAGGACCTGGCGGGCAAGAAGCTCCAGCAACAGGCGTGGTAGCTTATGCCTCTAATTCCCGCACTTGGAAGGCAGAGGCAAGTGGATCTCTGTGAGTTCAAGGCCAACCTGGTCTTCAGAATGAGTTCCAGGACAGCCAGGGCTACACAGAGAAACTGTCTAAAAGGGAAAGACCCTGTGTAGTTAATTGAGGCAAGTAAATATGTGTCATCTTGAATTAAATTAATTGAAACCAGTAGCAGGTCTCTAAAGTAACAAAACATTTTTCTCCTTCCCTCAAAGCTTACCATGGCTTCCAGCCACACCGTGTTGATGCGACTGGTAGCCTCCGCGTATTCTATTGCCCAGAAGGCAGGAACCATAGTCAGGTGTGTCATTGCTGAAGGAGACCTGGGCATCGTGCAGAAGGTACTGCAAACCTTGTCTGTTTCTACAGTCGTGGTTTTTGTTCCTGTAATAGGTGAAAAATGTCATGTTCTAGACCAACTAATAATAAAATGATGGAGATTGCAAGAGCCTTAGATTCAATATCTGCTTTGAAATCATGCCAGACTGCATCTGAAATCTTCATATGTATGACTGGGTCTTCTGCCTGAAGTTCAGAGCAGATCCTAGTCTATTCCATACAAAACCATGCAGCCTTAGAACATACATGTTTGAGAAGATCTGATGTTTAAATACATACTTCTTATTCAAAGCTATAAAAGTCACGTGTGGTGCCAGACAGCCATTCTCCCAGCACTTGGCAGATGAAGACAAGAGGTTATGAAGTTCAAGGCCAGCCTGAATTATGTGTGACTTTGCCTCAACCCCATCTCCATCCTCACCCCCCCAAAAAAACAAAACCCAGAAATCCTTTCTAATGCATTAGTGAATCGTCTTCTGAACCTCTTTACAAGGATGAGTGAGGGAATTCTAGAGGAAGCTATTCACATACTGATATTGGAGTGTTTAGCTTCACTTTGAAACAGTGTAAATTGATTTCTTTTTGTTTGTTTGTTTAATTTTGATTTTAAGACAGAGTTTTGTTGTGCTGCCCCAGCTGGCCTGGAACTCACTGTGTAGACCAGGTTGGCACAGGACTTACAGGGGCTGGGCATTGGTGGTGCACACCTTTAATCCCAGCACTTGGGAGACCGAGGCAGGCAGATCTCTGTGAGAGTTCAAGGCCAGCCTGCTCTACAGAGTGAGTTCCAGGACAGATTCCAGAGTCACATAGAGAAACCCTGTCTTGAAAAAGACAAAACAAAACAAAACAAACAGGACTTATGAGGGCTAGCCTGGAACTCACTGTATAGACTAGGCTTGTACGGGACTTCTGGTAAACCTGCTGTTTCTGCTTTTCAAGTATGAGATTACAAAAAGTATGTACACTGATAGTTTCTTGTCTCTTAGTCTATGAGGAAGGTTGGTAACTAGAATCTTATAAAAGAATTTCTCAACTAGAGAATAAGATATTCCAAATAATTTAGAAGTACCTTTGCAAACTTGAACTATTATGGAGCTAGGAATGTAGAGTGCTTGCTTGGCATGTGCAAGATATGGGTTTGAGCTCCATCCACCCATATACACACATAACCTAAACTATTTTTTTGCTTATTGGTATACAGTTTCACACTGTAGTGTAAACTCATCCCAAATTCATGACAATCCTCCTGCCTCAGTCTCCTGAGTATTGAGATTACAGTCATGTGATAACACGCAACTTCATTTCCCAGTCTTTTTTTTCTTTCAAGACAGGGTTTCTCTGTGTAGTCCTGGCCTTCCTGGAACTAGCTGTGTACACCTGGCTGGTCTCAAACTCACAGAGACCTGCCTGCCTCTACTTTCTGATTCCTGAGTGCTGGGATTAAAGACAGGTGCCACCGCTGTCTGGCTCACTTCCCAACCTTTTTTTTTGTTTTGTTTTGTTTTTTAGATTTATTATGAACAGTGTTGAGCCTGCATGTATGTCTGTAGGCCAGAAGAGGGCACCAAATCCCATAATAGATGGTTGTGAACCACCATGTTGTTGCTGGGAATTGAACTCAGGACCTCTAGAAGAGCAGCCAGTGCTCTTAATCTTAACCACTGAGCCATCTCTCCAGCCCTCATTTCCCAGTCTTTGTTTGTGTGTTTGTTTGTTTTTTTTGAGACAGGGTTTCTCTGTGGCTTTGGAGGCTGTCCTGGAACTCGCTCTGTCCTGGAGACTGGTCTCAAACTCACAGAGATCCGCCTGCCTCTGCCTTCCATGTACTGGGATTCAAGGCGTGCGCCACCACCACCCGGCTCATCTCCAGTCTTAATAGCTGTTAATTCTCTTAGAAACAGCGGGGCGTACAACTAGTGGTTTCATTTGGGGCTAAGCTCTGAATCTAAAATCTGAAAATGTAGTGTAAATTAATGGCTGCTGTGCACTTGGGAGTCAGAAGACCACTTATCCTTAACTGTATTTCTATTGAGACTTGCATTCTTTGTTACAGACCTCAGCCACAGACCTGCAGACCAAAGCAGACCGCTTGGTGCAGATGAGCATCTGCTCTTCCCTGGCACGGAAGTTCCCTAAGCTGACCATAATAGGGGAGGAGGTAAGAGCTCCCATGTCAAGTAGATTCATAGCTGGCATGCCACTGTCACATGTCATGGTTACAGTCTTAGCACTGGAGCTAGTGTCTGAACACCAAAGTGCTCATGTCTCTTAGAGGAAACAATCGGATTTTATATTTTTTTGGTCCAGCACTTTGCAGAAAGTGTTGGTCCATTCTCGAAGTTTCCTGGTGGAATTGTTAGGGTCTGCCATGTACAGCATCATATTCTCTGCAAGTAGGAGGAGTGTTCCAACTTCCTCCCTTCCTGGTCCTGTTGCTCTCTCTCCTTGTTCTTGTCCTGCTGCTCTAAGAGTAAAGCACCGTGCTGATGGCCCTGACTTGTTTCTGGTTTTAGTCTGGAGTTTGTTTGACAGGGTCTCCTGTGGAGCCCACGCCAGCCTTGAATTCCCCGCTTTGGCCAGCCAAGTGCTGGAATCTCAGGTTTCCTGGGCTCCATTAGAGTGGTTTTTTCTTCTTTTTTATTGTCACTCACATTGCTCCTGTTCTGGTGCTCAGAGTTATACCCAGTCTGGTGCATGCTGGGTAACAATTGCACCACTGAGCTGCATCCCAAGCCCTAGTGCGTGTGACTAGACACCCAGGTTCATAATCCACTGTCTTAGTATCCCAGCCTTCCAAAAGAAACTGGGGAACACATGTGTAAAGGAAAACGGGTTTGTTTACAATTTTAGATGGAGAAGAGGAAAGGGTTTGGGGATCCTCCTAGATGTTCCTGAATCATAGTTTAATGAGGCTAGGGTCCAGCTGTGAGGTTAGGCCATCAGAACTGTGAGACTCTGTGGAGGAGGCCCCTTCCTGGTGTCCACATTTCAAGCCCAGGGTGGAAGCTCCTGGGGAAGTCCTAGTTCCTCACTTCCACTCCTGCAGCTCCTGAGCGTGTTTCACTGGGTCTGCCGTGAAAGCTCTGGGCCTACGAGGCGAACGGAAGTGGCTGGGGACCCAGTTGCTGCGTTTGTTGGGAACACGATGCATTGTGGGAACAGAGGGCTTCAGCGGTGTCACTGTGTCTCTGCTGCAGGACCTGCCGCCCGGGGAGGTGGATCAAGAGCTGATTGAAGACGGGCAGTGGGAGGAAATCCTGAAGCAGCCATGTCCGTCACAGTACAGCGCTATCAAAGAGGAAGACGTAAGGCCCACCTCCATGCTTGGTACTCTGTCCGTCTGTGTCTCTTGCCATCGTGAAGGAAGCACAGTTTGTCTGTCAGAGGGAAAATGTGTGGTTACAGAGTAGTGGCAGTCAAGTTCCCGGTCCTCCAGAGCCAACAGGAGGAGGACCACCCCGACGTGTGGCCGACCCCAGCTCATGGTCCTCTCCTGAAGGTCTCCCCTGCCTCCTGGAACCACCATTAAAACCATGTTTAGTGAGAGTCTTAGCCGCTCAGTGGATTTGGTAACAAAGCATTATGTGGGCAATGGGGCTGCTCGTTCTAGAAAACCATACAAGTCTTCTTTTCTGGGCTAGAGAGATGGGTTGACAGACACCAGCACCGGCTGCTCTTGGTGAGGATCCAGGTTCAGTTCCCAGCAACCACACGGGGCGGCTAGCAACTGCCTGTAACTCCAGCTCCTGGGGATCCTAGTTCTAAATTATTTAACATTGCACTTACAGAATGATTACTACAAGGAGAAATTCTGTTCTGTGGGAAGAGCAATAAAAAGATAATGAGACATGACATCAGGGTGTCTCAGAAATTCATACTCAGTTTACTCAGTGTGTATTAGAGGATATTCTAAATTTCTCCTTTAGTCTAGTGCCCATCTTATGAGACATTCTGTTTTCTTCAGGTATTGTGCCGTGTCCTTAAGATAACCAAAAGATAATAAAAAAATTTTAGGCTTTTTTTGAGACAGGGTTTCTCTGTGTAGCTTTGGATCCTGTCCTGAAACTCACTCTGTAGACCAGACTGGTCTGGAGCTCACAGAGATCCACCAGCCTCCCGAGTGCTGGGATTAAAGGCATTCGCCACCACCACCCAGCTTATTTTGGTTCTTTAAGACAGGGTTATTTATGTTTTAAATCAGCATGTACAGACATGGCCTTTAATCCCAGTGTTTGAGAGGCAGAGGCAGGGAGATCTGTGAGTTTGAGACCATCATGGTTTACGTAGTGAGTTCCATGACAGCCAGGCATATGTAGAGAGACCCTGTCTCAAAACACTGAAGAAGGAAAAAAAAATCTTCACATACATATAAATTGAGTAACAACCTTAGATTGTTCAAAAGTCTCAGTGCCATGTGGAAAGTTTTCCCAGTATCTCCATCTAGAGCTACATGAGTTCATGACAGTGTGCTTAGTGTTCAAGTGACGGCCAACATTTATCAACTGTATTGTAAAACATCAAGGGCTCTTAAGCCAGCCTTTTGTTTACTGTAAGTGGACTTACTCCATGATTATGAAGCTTTGGGTTCTTTTATAATCACAAAGCTGATGATGCTGACTTAAGCCTTCTATAATAATATGTTCAAACATATTAAAAGGACGTGCTTTTTTTTTTTTGGTTTTACGAGACAGGGTTTCTCTGTATTGCTTTGGAGGCTGTCGGTCCAGCCCGTCCTCGAACTCACAGAGATCCGCCTGCCTCTGCCTCCCGAGTGCTGGGATTAAAGGCGTGCGCCACCACCGCCCGACGATAAAAGGGGGTACTTTTAATCTGTTAATTCGCTCTGAATTTTACATACATAATAAGGATATTTCCTCTCTTTTCTTTTTCTGTTTTTACCTTGCAGCTTGTGGTTTGGGTTGACCCCTTAGATGGCACCAAGGAATACACTGAAGGTCAGTATCTCTTGGCCACATGAACAGCGCTGAGGCAGGGCTGTGACCCATGAATGTGCTGTTCCTGGATCAGATGAAGAGTTGCTATGTTCTGTCTGTTGTCATACATGAGTGCCAACTAGAAGAGTTCATCTTCAAATGCACGCCCCCCGTACTCTACCAGCTCCAGTTCTGAGATCCCCACATGGGAGACGCCATCATTGTAAACCTTCTTATCCCAGGGACCGTGAGGAAACTGTTTTCTTGGGCTGGAAAAATGCTGAGGGCAGCTATGCTGCCCAGCTCCACCGTGGCTGGTCCCTCACCCCAGTCACAGGGCTCCCCTCTCTCTCCTCAGTCACACGGCTCCCCTCACTCTCCTCAGTCACACGGCTCCCCTCTCTCTCCTCAGTCACACGGCTCCCCTCACTCTCCTCAGTCACACGGCTCCCCTCACTCTCCTCACCTCAGTCACTCGGCTCCCCTCACTCTCCTCAGTCACTCGGCTCCCCTCACTCTCCTCAGTCACACGGCTCCCCTCACTCTCCTCACCTCAGTCACTCGGCTCCCCTCACTCTCCTCAGTCACACAGCTCCCCTCTCTCTCCTCAGTCACGCGGCTCCCCTCACTCTCCTCAGTCACACAGCTCCTCTCACTCTCCCCTGAGGGGGCTGCTGTGTGACTGGGATGAGGGGAGCGTGAGGGGACTGCTGTGGGTGAACCATTGAAAAATCCCTACCTTTACTGTAAGAATAACTAGCGGTGGTGCTGCACGCCTTTAATCCTCGCATTCAGGAGGCAGGCGTTCAGGCCAGCCTAGTCTAGAGAATGAGTTCTGGGACAACCAGGGCTACATAGAGAAACCCTATCTGGAAAAACCAAAAATTAAAATACTGATGATAATAATGAGGCTAGCAGCTGTTTGTTTGATATACTAAACCATGAGAGAGTGACATACTTAATTCCTTCCTTCGTAGGTCTTCTTGACAACGTGACCGTTCTTATTGGGATTGCTTATGAAGGAAAGGCCATTGCAGGCATCATCAACCAGCCATATTACAACTACCAGGTACTGCTCCCGGTGGCGCCTAAGTGTCAGGTGCATAACGGTAGTGGTCAGATGAGTCCAGATGCCATCCCGTCCACCTGTCACTCATTCGCTCCTTTGCACAGGCAGCCACTTGGGGTGGGGCTTCTCAAGGCACAGCCTCCCAGGCAGCTGGTCACTGATTGCACTAGGCCTTCCCCAGGGGGTTGAGGCCGGGAATGAGATGTGGGTGAATAGGTCATGCGCACTATACTTTCTATACATTTGTGGTTCAGTTGCAATAGTTTGGAAATGACCCTCTTGACTCTCAATTAGCGCGCTCATCAGGACACCTGGTTTACAGGTAGTTCTTGAAGCACACTGAAGAAATGAACCTTGCCAACCAAGAACAGACGCTAGCCATGTTGTTTCCCCAGTAATGCTGCGCAGTGCCTGGATCACTGTCAGTCCAAGTAGCCAGTCACTGATGCTCGCAGCCCCTTCCTCTACTTTGTTTCTTCCAACCTGCTTTGATTTCCTGCTGTGCTGCGGAGTACTGTCTCCTTTAGAAACAAGGGACCGATATAATTTCAGGGCAAAATAGATCACTGAATTTTATTGAAATACAGTGTTTAAAGTTTCATATTAATGTGGACTTGACAAACTTTGTAAAACAAGCTAACCAGAATGGGGGCATCTCTCCTGAATGTCTGTCTTGAGAACAGATTTCATATGTAGGTGTAACGTGAGCCTGTTTCTTCCTGCTGCTTACGGCAGTAGAAGTCTGATTATTTCTTGTGGTTCCCTAGAGTGGCTCCACACTGCCAGTCGAGTCAGAGTGAAATGCTCGGATATTAATCCTGACAGGGTGGCTTTGCTGTCTGGACTGTAGTACATTTGGGCCCGGGTTAGTGACTTTAACACTATTCTTTAAAAGAAGGGTATTTACTTCATAGAAGAAAGGGCATGCATGGCCCCTTTTATGATAAAAAATAGAGATGTAAGTGCTTAGGGATTGTGAATGATTGTATCCCTCGTTTCTGAGACTAGAAAGCTTGTATTCATTTTCCACAGAACAACGAAAAGGAGAAGTTGAGGGAGCAGAGGAATGAAGCGAAGGTGAGAAACAGCTAGGGCCTTGGTTCCAGCGCTAGGCAGGAAAGAGGCAGGCACCGTGGCAGCCGGTCCGTCCCGTGAGCCGGCTCTTTTCCTCCTGCCCGGCACCTCTCCTTTCGTCTCCCTGTGCTGTGTCCTCTCCGCCCTCTTTGCCTCTGAGTATGCCTTTAAAGTGTGTTGCTACAAGTAGAAGCGGAAAGGTTGGCTGCTGCCGGTGGTCAAGGCCGAAGACGCTTCAGAGCCTGAGTGTATCGGGCCCTCGCTGTGCTGCCATGCTCAAGGGATTCGCAGGTGTTACCTCTCTAACACTCACCACACACCTCACGGAAACAGTTATGTCCACATTAAAGAAAAGGATGCCAGCTGACCTGCTGATGCAGGCCTGTAATCCCAGATACTCAGGAAGCCGGGGCCAGAGCTTTGCAAGTTCTGGGGAGGCCTGGGCTACAGAATGAACTCAAGACCAGTCAGCAACAGACATACATATGTATGTACATACATACATATATACTAGGTCTTTTTGAGGCCAACCTGGTTTAATACAGTTCCAGGGCAGCCATGGCTGCATAGTAAGATGATGTCTCCAAAAACAAAGAGAGCTCTGATCCCAGATGAGCTGATTTTGAAAGCAACTTCCTAGGCTGCTCGGTCTATCTATTAACTGATTCTAAACCTCAGTGTTAAGGTTAGTAACATCTACTTTCTGGGGTTGCCCTGAGTATCAGGTGGGCTAATGCATGCATAAAGAAGGTCGCATAGGCCCGACGTACCCTTGTTGAGTGAATCTCATGCCTGTTCTTACACTACACCTCCCCGGCTGATGCGAAACTGTGTTGAGTGTGGACTTCCTGTATTAGAATCAATTTTGATTTTTCTAAAGTACGTTTATCTACATGAACTGTGTATTTAGCAATGTGGTTGTACCATCTCTGAGCCCCACAAAGGAAGACACGGTTCTGAGACTGCTGTCCTTTCTATCGGGGCGTCTGTCAATAAAGCCTTAGCCTTGTCTCCGCTGGCCATGCTTTCTGCCCATCAGCATGTTTGTTTGCTCTGTGTCTCTGGCAGCAAAATGCACCCTGACTATTGCTCCTATTGTACCTTGAATAATGAAAGTAGCACACTGCATGTGAGCACCACGTTATTACTCTGACAGTGATGAGCACACAGTTGCACTGCCTGGAACTTCAATACCTTAGAAAAATGGCTGTTTTCACTTTAACAGACAGATCAGAGTAGGAAGGTCACTCTCCTGAGGACAAAAGTGTCCTCTTTCTTTGAAACTGTTGGCCAAAGAAAGCAGCAATGAGGATAATCAAATTGTTATCAGACTAAATAAGTCTTTGTCTCTTTACTGCCCTTATAATTATAACATTGTGTGTTTTTACTTTTGTAACTGGAAAATATACCCGTTATTACAAACTTGGTAACTTCAGCTGAGTGAGGCTGACTGTTCCCTCTGTGGCTGGCATCTTTCTGCAGTGACGGTGAGATTTGTTGTCGTTCCCACAGGCGGGCCCTGACGCTGTGCTGGGCAGGACCATCTGGGGAGTTCTGGGTTTGGGTGCCTTTGGATTTCAGCTGAAAGAGGCACCTGCCGGGAAGCACATCGTCACAACCACCCGGTCCCATAGCAACAAGCTGGTCACAGACTGCGTGTCGGCCATGAACCCCGATGACGTGCTGCGAGTCGGGGGAGCAGGGAACAAGGTATGACTGCGACAGCATGTGAAATATACTGTCAGAGAACGAAATGCCTCCTCCAAAGTGGTCTCTGTCCAGTCCAGTCTTCACAGATACCGGTAAGACAGTTAAACGCCAATCATAGCCCAGTGTAGGCTGCATACTTGCAGCCCTGGCACTGGGGACATGGACACAGGAGAACCAGGAGTTCTAAGTTATCCTTGCCTATAAATCAAGTTTGAGGCCAGCCTGGGCTACAGGAGCCTCTGGCTCAAGGAAACCAAGTAATAGCAATCAATAATAATGGCTCATAATTGAGTAATGGGAGGAGCAAGGGTTCTGAAGTCTCTGAGAGTCCTTGCTAGGTTAGCCAGACAGCATACCCGCCAGACTTGTCCCTCATGGCGCTATTGACTATTTCTCTATTACTTGTCGATGACCACAGCTTTTTAGAAATTTAAAAACAGTACTTGTCCAATAGCGAATTATGTATTTCCTTTATAGTAAGAAAGAAAAACCATGTGAGTAAGAAAACTTAATCTACCTTGGACTATAGATTGTGGTTTTGGTTCTATTTTTTCTGTTTAGATTAGCATGTATTGGTCACCTGTTTTGTTTCTTTATAATGCTGGTGTCCTTTAATCTAAGCCTGACGGGCACTGATGAAATGTTCGGGGTGGGCATCAACAGCTCTCCTCCTTGGCAGCTCCGTCTTTACATGGTGGAGTAGTTAGTACTTTTCACCCTACAGATCATCCAGCTGATTGAAGGCAAGGCCTCTGCTTATGTGTTTGCAAGTCCTGGCTGTAAGAAGTGGGATACTTGTGCCCCGGAAGTTATCTTACATGCTGTGGGAGGTGAGTCCAGTTAATCCTGGAGAATTCAGGTTTTTATATTGTACTCGGACATTGTATTTCAGTAATATTCTTTTTTTTTTGTAATTTTGTGTGGGTGTTTTGTCTGCATGTATGTCTATGCACCACATGCCTGCCTGGTGCCCTCGGAGGCCAGAAGAGGGTGTTGGATCACCTAGAACTGGAGTTACAGACAGTTATAAGCCTCCTGTGTGGTTGCTGGGAATCAAACCCATGTCCTCTGGCAGGGCAGCCATGAAGAATGCTTGTAACTGCTGAGCCATCTCTCCAGCCCTCAGTTAACAGTCTTCACCTAGATTCCTAGAGTGCAGATGCTGGAGGGAAGCCTAGCAAGGGTATTTTCAACAAACTGGATTTTCTGTAGTTTATAGTCTTTACTGAGAATGGACTTCATCTTCATATAGTTAATCAAACTCTCATCTTCTTGTTGCTGCTGCTTCTCTGTTTCATTAAGACAAGGTCTCACTGTATCCTTGGCTGGCCTTGCACTCACTATGTGACCCAGGCTTAGAAACTCACAGCACTTCCTGCTTGGCCAGAGGACATGAATTCAGTTCCCAGCACCCACACCTGGTGGCTCACAATTACTTGTAACTCCAGCTTCAACCTGTCCCCTGTGACATTTGCTACCACACACACACTCACACACACACTCACACACACACTCTCACACACACTCACACACACTCACACACTCACACACAGCAGAGAGAGAGAGAGAGAGAGAGAGAGAGAGAGAGAGAGTTAGAGAAAGAGAGAGTTAGAGAAAGAGAGAGCGAGAGAGTTTTTTAAAGTCAAGACCTTGTCTTTAAAGATTAGAAAATGGATGACAGGGTTAGTTATAACTCCATGGTACACACAGGGCGTTGGTGGCGCACGCCTTTAATCCCAGCACTCGGGAGGCAGAGGCAGGCGGATCTCTGTGAGTTCAAGGCTGGGCTGGACCGACAGCCTCCAAAACAACACAGAGAAACCTTGTCTCGTAAAAACCAAAAAATAAAAAAATAAAAAATAATTAACTCCATGGTACAGCCCCAGGCTGGCATGTGTGAAGCTCTTCATGGTAGAGCACCAGGCTAGCATGTATGTGGCCCTAGTTTTAAATCATCTAGACACAAGCTAGAGTCATCTGAGAGAAGGGAGCCTCAATTGAGAAAATATCTCCATAAGATTGGGCTATAGGCAAACCTACAGGGCATTTTATTAATTGGAGATTGATGGGGAGGGCCCAGCCCATTGTGGGTGGTACCTGCCTGAGCAGGTGGTTCTGAGTGCTATAAAAAAGCAGGCTGAAGTTCGAGACCAGCCTGGTCTACCTAGCGAGTTCCAGGACAGCCTCCAAAGCCACAGAGAAACCCTGTCTCGAAAAACCAAAAAAAAAGCAGGCTGAGCCAGGCAGTGGTGACGCACGTCTTTAATCCCAGCAGTTGAGAGGCAGAGGCATGTGGATCTCAGTGAGTTCAAGGCCAGCCTGGTCTACAAAGAGAGTTCTTGGACAGCCAGTCCAGTTACACAGAGAAAGCCTATCTCGAAAAACCAAATAATTAATTAATAAATAAATAGAGTGGGCTGAGCAAGTGATAGAGAGAAGGCCAGTAAGCAGGGTCCCTCCTCCGTGGCCTGGGCATCAGCTGCTGCCTCAGTGATTTGTGATTCAGAGTAAGCCAAATTAACCCTTTCCTCCCCATGTTGCTCTTGGTCATGCTGTTTCATCATAGCAGTAGTAACCCTAAGACAGGCAGACAGGTAAACCCAAACATTTTGGGACGTACACCACATGGTAAGAGAAATCAATACCAAGAAATTCAGTGACGTGGCTAAAGAGAAGGCTCAGTGGTTATGGGCACTGGCTGTTCTTGCAGAGGACTCTGGTTCCAGATCCCAGTGTCCGCATGAGTGGCTCAGAACCATCTGTAATTCCACTTCCAGTGAACATGGTGCCCTTATCTGTCCTCCAGGGGCACTAGGCACTCACATGGTACATAATACACATGCAGACAAAACTCTAGACACATGAAATAGGGCTCCTAACCCTAAGTCCAATAAATAAATATTTTTAAAAATAAGAAGAAAGAACGAGCATAGGGCTGTAGTTCAGTGGTGGAGCTCACCTTTGGCATACAGGAGGCCTAGGTTCAGTCTCTAGTTCCAAATACAGGAGGAAGGCAGGAGGGTATTGGGATGGGAAAGACCCGTAATCCTAGAACTCCTAAGGTACAAGCAAAATCACTGCAAGTTCAGGGATACCTAGTAAGTTCCAAGCCAGCCAGGGCTACATAGTGAGATTTTGTTTAAAAAGGCTCATGGCAGGGAGTGGAATGGAGGGAAGGAAGGAGGGGAAACTGCCATTAGGATGTAATATACGAAAGTAATAATTTAAAACCAAATAAAAAAAAAAGGTCAAGCCTGGACATCATAGACTTTTTCTCAATAAAAACAAACAGGGCTTGGGATGCAGATCAGTGGCAGTGTTTGCCTAGTGTGCATGAAACTGTAGGTTTAATCCCTAGGACACACTTTCTGCGAAGTCAGTAAAGAGTAACTGGAGTGCCTTAGGACACAGCTCAGTAGTAAAACATGTGCTTAGTGTGAGCCCTGGGCTTCAGTCCTTCCCCATCCTGTCCTCCAGAGAAGAACCCTAGAAGTACCCTGACCCCACTCCACGTTAACCTGTGTGCTGTTGCTCTGCAGGGAAGTTGACAGACATCCACGGGAACACCCTCCAGTACAACAAGGAGGTGAAGCACATGAACTCCGCAGGAGTCCTGGCCGCACTGAGGAATTATGAGTACTACGCCAGCCGAGTTCCAGAGTCTGTGAAAAACGCACTGACTCCCTGAAGGGCTGTTTCACTCACTTACCTGGAGGACTCGGTTCTCACAGTAACACATCTTAGAACTGATTGAACAAATAGAGCTCATCATTGATCAGTGATTTGTATCAGTAGTTAGGGTTAGAAGAGGGATTAAAGAATCTCACTGTGTGTAGTCTAATACTCTCATGCCCTAGGCATATAATACATTTTAATTGTCATTTCTCCTGCCTAAAAATTATTGGCCAGGTGTGGTGGCACATGTGGTAGTCACAACTATTCCAGTGGTTGAGCTAGGAGGATCACTTGAGCCAAGGGCCTCAGGACCAGCTTCCACTACATAGCAAGCCTCTGCCAAAAATTGGAGAAGAAAAACAAAAGGAATTTAGTTTTACTCATTAGCTAACCAGACCATTTGTTTTGACATTTGGATAATTTTTAATTTCAGTGTCTTTTAAGTGGTCTTTTTTGTTTGTTTGTTGTTTTGTTATGGTTTACTTGTTTTTGCTTTTGTTTTTGAGACAGGGTTTCTTCTCTGTGTAGTCCTGGCTGTCCTGGAACTCCATCTGTAGACCAGACTAGTCTTAAACTCACAGAGATCCGCCTGCCTCTGCCTCCTGAGTGCTGGGATTAAAAGTGTGTGTCACCATTCCTGGCTCAAGCGTCATTGTTTTTAAGTGGAGAAATGAAAAAGGATTAGTTCCAAATGACTATCGAGGTCATTTGTACAATCAACATTCCTGCTTATAAACTGGATTTCTTCAGGACACAATCTTTTTTGTTGTTGTTGAGACAGGGTTTTTTTGTTTTTTTTTGTAGCCCTGGCTGTCCTGGAACTCGCTCTGTAGATCAGGCTGGACTCAAACTCACAGAGATGGGCCTGCCTTTGCCTCCAAGTGCTGGCATAAAGAATATGTACTACCACTGCCCAGACAGGACCCAGAATCTTAAGTTGCACCAGAATTTCACTTTTTTTTTCACAGTAATTTTTTAAATTTCTGACTCCACCTGAGAATGCATATAATGGGATTATTTATGTTGACAGATTTATGGGGGACATTTCTATAAAATAAATTATTTACTCCTAGATCTTCACACTATGTGTCAGTTTTCTTTTCTAAAGTATTTGAAACTTATAACTAGTATGGGGTTAATTTATTCTCTTGTTATCATTAAAAGGCATAATTGGAAAGCTGGGTAATTGCCTATATTCCTTCCACTGAGAGAATGTAACTTGCATGAGCTTAATTGTTACCTTGGCTAGACTGAGAAGCCCTATCCAGATCACGAAACAGGGTTTCCAGAAAAAAATGAACTAAGCTGGAAGAGCAGCTGGAAGTGTGGGTGGCAACCACTGTCTGGGGGCGCCAGCCTCCAGCAGCACAGGGCTGTGACAGAAATCCACCAAGTCTGCGAGGCTAAACTTATTCTGAGGGTGCTAGGGAAAAGGCACTCTCAAACTCTCTTGACGATTTCCTTCTTTATTCTCTTGTCTCTTCATTCTCTCTGTGTCTGCTCTCTCTGTGTGTCCTTTCATGGTTTTGTTTGTTTTGTTTTTTTCTCACAGTTTTTATACCCCAACAGAATCTTCCTAGCAGTACTGGAGTCAAAACAGTTGCATTCCATTTCTCAAGTGAATGATTATAGGTTAAAAAAAATCTCCCTCACATGATTTAACATTTTATGCATTACAGGTAAAAAAACAAATCGTTCCAAGAACCCACAAACTTTCATACCCATGCAGCTTGTTATCGATTAACCATGTAGGGGGCAATCAAGGTGCTCTTGTCGGGTCCTTTACTGGCAGGCTACATCTTAAAGGAATCACAGACCTAAGTTTTTATCTGTGAAAAAGAATCAGTCAGTTCTACTTTAAATCTTTAGGTTCGTATTCATTAGTAGTCTATTTTTATATCAGGAGATTCAGGACAGAAATGAGTATAAGGAATTAATCATCACCTTTGGTCATCAACCAAACCTAGTAAGGAGAGTAATAATTGGGCTGCTTTGTTCTTGTTCCATGACTTTAAAGGAGTTTTACATTGCCGGGTGGTGGTGGCGCACACCTTCAATTCCAGCACTGGGGAGGCAGAGGCAGGCGGATCTCTGTGAGTTTGAGACCAGCCTGGTCTACAAGAGCTAGTTCCAGGACAGGCTCCAAAGCCACAGAGAAACCCTGTCTCGATAAACAAAAAAAAAGTTTCACATTTAACTATGTGCCTTTCTAAAACTTTAGATTGTCTTCTTGGGTTTCTCACCTCCAAGTTATTTGACAAAAACATCTTAGTCTAACTTTGTTATCCTCAAAGCTTTGTTTCAGCAGTGATGCTCTCTGAGACCTGTGAACACATCTCCTGACATTAAGGTTAAAAGAATTTAGACTAGCTGGGCTACTGGGACTCAATAGTTCATCCTTAACTTGAGCTACAATCCGTGCAGCTCCTTAGGTGGAACTCACAGACCCTGGCTATATCTTTGTATTTACTTTTGTTCACCAAAACTCTGTATAAACTGCCATTATTATTATCAAATTGGACAGTACAACTTAGCGAGGGGTCATCTTCTTGACAATCCACAGGTAAAAATGCCCAGTAGACCAGGCTGTTTCCAAGAGATAAGCACACTACATTACAGGCGGTGGAGGTCTCCCCACGCCCGCTCACACGGTGCTCGACACCAGAGAAAGAGCCGCAGCACACATGTGAAGGCACAGCAGCAGCAAAGACGTTCCAGATTGGCCCATCGCAACTGTCTGTCTCAGGGCATCTAACACCCTCCATGGCCTCTGCAGGCACCAGGCACGGACGTGGAGCACAGACACGCATGCAGGAAAAACTCCCATACGTGTAAACGTAAATTTAAAAAAGTCAAGCCTCCCATATTCAAAGTCTGCTTGGTTTTGCCTTTGCCTTCAGGATAAACTTGAGGTTCCTTACAATGGTCTGTGAAACTTTTAACGTCCTGGCATCTTCCCTGTCCAGCATCGGCTCTGATTATAACCACATCCATGCTCAACCATTGGATGTTGCCCCAGAAGACTGGGTGTAATCAAAGGTTAATCGCTTCATACAGGCCCTGTCCATTCAACAGTGGCCTTTGTAAGTTATTTCATACTGTGTTGAGTTCTGTAGAAGAAATTGACTTGGAAGGTGCTAGAAAGCAAGTGAGGTGGGAAGTTTGGCAAGGAGTTTCCTCTAGAATCTAGGATCTAGATGAAGGAAGTATATCTTCTCTGGGGGAGTGGGATCTGAGGTGAAGACCAAGACAAGGGATTCAGCCGTGCTACAAGTTAAGGTTTAGTGTGGGAAAAGCAGGCGCATCTCTAAGAGAAAGAAAACAGAAAGCAAGCCACCATGGCTATAGTAAAACGAATACATGGCCAGGTGAACTCAGAACTCCTTTATGGCTCTGGTAAAATGAAGCTGAGTGTGCTTTGTCACATCACATCTGGGGGGGAATCGTTAAAGACTATAGGGTAAAGAGTTTCAATAACTTCTTGCCAACAACAGTGTACATGTGCATACCTGTTGCAGGTGAAAAGTGTTCAATGGTGCTATAAATGAAATGTTTTGTGGAGATTAAACAGACAGTTCAAAGTAGTTGAATTCGAGGAGTCTTTGTCATTTGTGGTGGCTATTTTTTTGTTCATTTTTAAAATCAATTTTTTACATTCCAATCCCAGTCCCCCCCTCCCTCTTTTCCTCTCACTCCCTCTACTCTCCCCCTCCTCCCATCTGCTCCACAGAGAGGGTAAGGCCTCTCCTAGGAAGTCTACTAAGTCTGTCCCAAGTTCAGGCAGGACCAAGGCACCTCTCCACCCCCACACCCATGTGTCTAGGCTGGGCAAGGTATCTCTCATATAGGCTAATGTTTTTTGTTTTGTTTTGCAGTGGCTAATTGTTACTTAGTAAGGCCTCTGTCTGGTTTTTACAGCTGGGGCTTAGCTGGTCTCTTTGCATTCCAGCTCCCCATCAGCTCCTGCAGCACCACAGGCCTCTGTCAGTTTTCCATGACTGTGACAGGTACCTTAGATAGTCAACTTACAGAGAGACTGTGTCTCATCGTGGCTCAGAGTTTCGCAGGTTCTAGTCCATGAACAATCGGCCCTTCTGTCTGGGAGCCAATGGATGAGACAGGACATCCTGCTGGGAGCCTGTGGTGGTGCCAATAACTTCTCACCTCGTAGCTGGGAAGCAAAAAAGAGAGGAGTAGAGTCATGCTCTCACTCTTTGCTTTACTATCTTACCCCAGAGCCCAGGCAATCTTAGGCCCCACCTCTTAATGTTTCTAGCACCTTCCAGGGCCCTTTTGAGTTTCAACCAGATCTATCAGGATCTAGGGCTGGAACTTAGTCCAAAATAATGGAATCCTTTAATTTTATTTAATGAATCCCTGTCTTTGGTACAGTTTTCCCAAGTTTTTACGGGGCTAAAAGGAACTTGGAGATTTTATAGATCAGGCAAAGAGGGGGTGGGGTGTGCATAGCTAATGAACAGTCAAACCAGTGCTCAGGTTGATGTGATCTCAAGTCTGGGTCTGTAAGGAATTCCTAAAGTCATTACTGTCCTTAAGGGGACACAATCTTGTTATTATGAAATGATTGGTTTCGCTTCAGGCTGAACTCTCAGCGGGAATGGGTGGGGTGAACTGAGGCACCTTTGTGTTTGAGAGTAGTTTTAGTCCTGTGACATAAAGATGTTCATAGGTTGGACTTATCATCCCAGAAATTCAAGGTAATAACAGAAGAGCATGGCTTGAGGAGGAGCAGGCGAGAGGCAGAAGCAAAAATGAAGCCAGAAGGGAAACAAATGATATTAAGTAAACTGACTGATACCGTCTTTCATCCCATTGTAGTAATAGGTACCTTGTGGACTCCACAGAATGGTGGTATATAAATGTAGCCATCTTTGGTAATGGTTCCAAGGCAGGGACCCAAAGAAATAACAATCCTATAGTTGCATGAAAAGTTTAAGTCTCCCTAATGAATACATGGATATGTTGCTGAGATTAATAGAAAGTAAGGGAAGATCTGTACTGGTTTCTGAAATCAGTCCTGCCCCCCTGAACTTGAACTTCAACCTTTGGAAAATAGCCTGGGTAAACACACTCATCATGGAGAATTTAGGGGCTGGAGAGATGGCTCAGAGGTTGGGAGCATTTGCTACTCTTCCAGAGGATCCTGGTTCAGTTCCTTGCAACCAGCTGGCAGCTCACAACTGTCTATGATAACTGTTCCAGGAGATCTGGTACCCCACACAGACATAATAATATTAGTAGGTGTTGGGGAAGTCTTATGTCAATAAAGCACTGTTGAGCCAATAGGGAACCAAGATAGGAGAGACTAGGAGTCCAGGAGGACTCTGAGAAGGAGAAACACAAGAGATTCAAGATGTAACGCCATGGGGTAGGAAGCCCGGAAACATCTCCGGTAAGAGAAATACATAAATTAACAATTATGTGGTAATTACTTAAGTCAGAGCTAGCCAGGAAGAAACAAGCAAGGCCAACAGCTTCATAATTATTATAGCCTCCTGTGTGTTTATTTGGGACTGATGCGGCTCTAGAACCAGGCTGGCGGGAAGGCTCCTCACAAGGAAAAAGCCTCCCTTTACAAATGGTTGTCAGAAGCGGGATTGAATTTCCATGCAAAAGAACAAAAGCTTTAAAGGAATTTTAGAAACAGAAGAACAGAGAGAAGCACAGATTTTTGGTAGCAGCATTTTCTCAGGTGGGCTCTGTTTTGATATCGACAAGCCCAGATTCACGTGGCTCGCTTACCAGAGTCTTCCTGACTCGGCATAAAAAGAAAAAAAAACAGCAAGGTTGTTTTAAGAGACTCTGTTAACAATTAAAAGGTGTGTATGTACAGCTGGAAGTGGCAGCTTTTGCTGGGTGTCAGCATGGACTGAGGCGGTAAGCTGGAATCACGCTTCCGCCCGCCATCTTGGAAACGGCAGTTTAAAACTGCCGCAGTTTTACAGATAAGACATGTGGCCAGAAAAACGTAAAGATTTACAGTAAAGTCAGACTTGGATGAACAAAACCTCTAAAGGTTTACAATGTGTTTAAAAATATACATAAGATTGAGAGAGAAA